CAAATAAAATAAACATAATTTTTAATTAGTTTGAATAATTACAACGGAGTAAGAAATAATTAATGCAAGACATGAAAGCAATGTATTTCTAGTGACAGCAAATAAACCAAAACATGTGAAACACATTTCTTTCCGCAATGATTTCAATTCATTCAATTGTAACCGAATATACATTTTATGTGTAATACTTGTGTTTACAGAATATTCTGTATAATAATCAAATACGTGCTGATAAAAAACTTTATATCTAGATGGTATTATATCGCATAACATACATAGCAAAATTAACGCCACCATTGTTAAAATGAGATAACATGATTTTTGAATTTTAAATTTGCTGCCCAGGGTCAAATTACAAATATACGTAATGCAAACCAAAACATAAATTATTAAAATAAATAATATATACATTGAAAATAAATTATTTAAATAATTAATATGTTTACGCAATTTCTGACAATATTTACAAATATAATTTAATTCAAATCTATGAACATTTTGTTGTATATTCTGTAACTGTTTAGCAATAATGAAACTTTGATAAGCAATTAGTGATAGTAATATTAATTGGGTATTGTTTAACCATCTGTCCACATTCTTAAATTAGTCCCGCGAAGAACATTCTCCCGAAATAAATCTCGGAGTTGCAGAACAGCTAATTTATAGGATAGTCGAGATGGCAGCAGTGAGGGGATAAGCGAGAGTTTATTATAAGTCTATGTAATCAACTGATGTGAAGCAGCAATGAATAGAAGAGTTTGCGCACTAGTTACTAGTTACAATTATAGCCTTCTTCACAAATAGTTTCCCAGTGTTATAATGCATTGTATGTTAAGGCATTTTCTATACATGCTATGGTACGAGAATGTGTAGTGTATTTACTGTTCAGTATACACGTAGCTATGGTTTTAAAAACATTTTTATGACAAACAATGATACATAAACATCGTTAAGATTTATTTATTTACTAAAATCCAATATTTTTATTTAAATATAAATACAAAGTTATTTTACAGTCAAATAGTTGTTTTTACAAAATTATGGTTTAGCCGTTGTTTGGTTTAGCCGTTGTTTGGTTTTACCGTTGTATGATTGAGCGGTTGTATGGTTTAGTTGTCGTATGATTTAGCCGTTCAATGCTTTTTGTCTCTTATTAAATAATTTTAATTCAATATTTAATTACTGAATTATTAAATACCCATAAGTCCTATTTAAATAGGACTTATGGGTTATCTATTTATTAAATACCTTAATGCCCTTAAGAATATAGTAGTTTTAAAAAGTATTTTAAAAAGTTAAAATTTTCAAAATCAAAATTTTATTCGTTATCTTTATAATCCTCAGTTTTACACTCAGTACAATAATAAACTAAATGTTTTTGTTTACAAATAAGTAGATAGCAACCATCACATCTAATTGTGCACCTCTTCTCAGCTTCTCGCGGGCATAAATTGCAATACGAGTTATTTCCCGGTCTTTTCACTGTCTTTCGTGAAACTGGTTTTAATTCCTCATCACTTTGTGGATCACTTTCAACACTAAAAACTCTTTCAATTACATGCCGTAACTCTCGTCTAAGAGTTGTATGATTAAGCCGTTGAATCGCTAAAGGTTTAACCAAATCATACCCTAAATCTTTTATAAATTCCCGTCTTTTTTTGGATTTCATTTCGTTTGGGAAGTAGTGTTTATATATGATATAACAATTAATTGCAGATATGTCTAATATATCATAAAACAGACACATTGGCCATCTACGAGTTGCCCGTCCACATGTGAACGATACACACAAGTGGTCGAGATTATCAACGCCTCCTTTTGTTTCATTGTAGAAGTTGATTACTTCTGGTTTCCCGTTGTTTTCGAGTTGAAAAGTCGTGTGAAATGTGCTCAACATTAATACAAGTTTTTTTGTCTTCTTTTTGTTTGGTATATGAGATACAATCATATTGTGCTCTTTGAGTTCATATAAATTTGAGTCCATCTATAAACAAATTTAATTTTTGAGTATATAATTAAATACCCATAAGTCCTATTTAAATAGGACTTATGGGTAGATCACTAATTAAATACCTCTCTGTTGTGTAGAGTCTTAAACTCAATTGGTATCTCTCTCTTGTTCTTCTTAAGAGTCCCGACATATGTCAAACCGTTAACGTATAGTTCATCGACAAGTGGGAAGGAAGTGAACCAATTGTCTGCAGTAACGTTACGGCCACTGTGTTTCAAGTCATGAACTAATCTTAAGACCACATTCTTCGCTATATTAAAGCTTTTGTCAGCATTTGGCTGTCGACCCAAATACACTTCAGCGTTCCACATGTAACTGGTTTTTGCGTCACATAACATAAACAATTTAATACCGTACTTCGCGGGTTTATTTGGCATGTATTGTCGAAAACCGCATTTGCCTCTAAACGCTCTTAACTGTTCATCGATTGTCACGTATTCAGATACGACGTAATTTTGTTTGCAATTTTTGTTAAACTCTTCAAACAGGGCTCTAATGGGTGCCAATTTATCATTGGGGTCTCTTGTGTTTCTGTCATCAAATCGCAGACACGCGCATAAAAAGCGAAACCTATTTAATTGCATTACGGCCCGAAAAATATCACGACCGCCGCCTCTCGTTGACCACAATTCAATGGCGTTTTCGTTGCCAGACTTATAGACACCAGCCAACAATAGTAAACCAAAGAAGGCTTGAATTTCCTCAGCATTTGTGTCGTACAAATAATTTTGCCATTTATTATATTTTGCGATTTTAACAAAAATCTCTTTGTTTGTGTTATTAACTATGGTTTGAATCATTTCGATGGTTATATAAATGTTAAACAATGAATAATTGTTTTCAGCACATTGTTTGCTTAATTTGGGGCCACAGACTTCGCGCAACACATCTTGTGATCTTGTATTAGTTGATTGAGATGTTGTGGTATTTGCTGAACGAAACTCTTCTTCATAATCACTGTCCGCCTCTTCAGCGCTTTGTTCGGTATCTGTTGAGTGGTCAGAGATTTGCAACTCATCCGGTTCTTCGTCACTTGAGATATCATCCGCACTATCGATTGCTAACAAGTCCTCTAACTGTTGTTCTGTTAATCTAGTTTTTTTACTCATTTTATTATTGATTTACTTTAAACACAATTAAAAATAATCATTTAAATCACAAAATGCTGTTTATGGCATAAACATGTATTACGCACATAAATAACCCCATATTCATATTTAAATATGAATATGGGGTTTTTGTTTATACAATAAATATTTATTGTAATTTATGAATGTTATTTGACTTTAACTTATACAATAATGCGCAAACTCTATACGCAAACCTTTAGCAATACATCTCATACAATGCATACATAGCATTTACTGAACTAAATCCAAGGGAGATAACTCTCCATGTAGGCTATGCGCGTTTCTATTGATGTGCGCGCCGTCTGTGATTTGAGTTATTTGAACCCTATATATGCTTTTAACGTGCAGTGCATTAAATTTATACACATGAGCCAACAAATAGTGCGTGAAAATGGGCAGTGAGTGAGTGGAGGCGCTTCGAAATCTGCTATATAGTTGAAAAGCACTGATTTGTTAAGCGTTCAAAAAGTTGCACGTTTCACCTTCTGGGAGAGTTTTTGGAGTGACCTCTCTTTGAAAATCCACTGCTCGGACGCCAGACATGATAATCACATTTTGATTAATTCAATATTTACTCAAATGTTTGGTTGAGGCTATGCTGAAATTTTTTAACACTGACATTATCCGCTGATTTTAGCCGACAGTTTTAAACTCACTCCGAGACTTTTCTCGTAAGAATGTCTACAGATGGTTAACAACCATACTATAATGGGGTTAATTAAATATAATGTAGTTGTACAATGGCTTGGTGAATATAAACAAATTACACCAACTTGTATTAAATTTATGAAATAAGGTACAATGCCAATCATCAAGGTAATTATTACGCCAACTCTGCGCTCATAGCCAGTGTCAACATGATTAATGCCCCAGCTTTTAATCGTTGTTAACATTACCGGCCCTCTAATATTGAGAAAAACGTACAAACCGATAAACTGACCAGAGTGAATTCCAACTCTAATAAAGGTCAATAAAATGTTCATGATCAATTTTGAATGCACTGCCATTTGCTTGTTATTTAACATGTTAATTGCTTCGGACACTGAAGTGTAGGCGTTGTATACAATTAGTGATAAATATAATAAACTCCACAAAATACAGAATATTCTCCAAACGAGCGATACTTTTGTACCCAAATTCCAACCAAAATAAGAGATTCCTGTAATTCTTTGGTAATTAAACATAAACTGAAAGCCAGGCATGGGGTTAATGTTGACCATAATGCTATTATATAGTGCTATATTTATATAATTATATTATATTTGATATATGGTTTATATCTAGTTGTCCCTTCAGGGCAATTTGAGGGCAAAAATTAGAATTTGGCATTATAAATAGTGTACTGTATTAGCTATTGAATGTATTGTGATTCATAGTTAATATGACTAATCTGTATGTATTAATTGACTATAGTTTATATACAGTATACACAACATATTACACTGTTTTATAAATGGGACGTACTGGTTTATATATTAATTATTTATTTTATTAGCACTTTTAATGAACAATAATGATTTTTGGTATACAATACAAGTACGAACTCTACATATTCCTACAGAATGTACAGTAGATATGTCAAAATATGTTATTTTTAGATGTATGGATTGTAATAACACTGCACTACAGTATACACAGTTTACTTTTGTGCATAAATTGTGCAAATAAGTAAATTAAATTTTATTATGATCAATATGCATTACTTGATTAATCTTAAATTAAAAGTTGCATTAAGTTTTCCTTGAGTAGAAAATAAACACTCTGATGGTCTTATATTGTATTTATTGTGTAAAATAAAATTATTTATGCTAAGTTGTGAAGAGTGTAAGTTTTGATCGATTGAGTGTTATTTACTTAAGTTAATTAACTAAGTATTGGACAATAAACTGGACAAATTATCAAAATAAATAATAAAGGTACAAGTAATTGTTGTTTATAAAAAATTAATTATCTAATAACAATAATTTTCAATAATAAAACTGTTTTTTATGCAATAATTATTTCTTTCATTTTGTAAAGTTAATCAAAATAATTAAACAAACATTAATTTGATTTACACATTAGAAATTCATAGAAAAATAAATTGTGTTTAGATTTAAGTATATTAAGCGCGGAATTGAATTCCTTATGAGTTGTAATAACAGTCTTATCGATTGACCACTCGTTTTGTTTAGCCAACACTTCCCGACACTCAGGCCTTTGATTATAGTCAGGGCTTGACATCATTGACTGCAAAGTCTGGTATAGATTAACATAACATTTATTAAACTCGGATTCAATTGCTTGAAACGAATAGGAACTACAAATACATATAAAATATTAATATAACAACAATTAGACAAAAAACAAAAATAATTGCTAAAAATACTTACTTTTGTGGATCAATACTATAGATCTTTTCAGCGATTAGTGCGAGACTAAAAATATCAATTTTGTGGTTATATTGCTTGCGATATAACACTTCGGGCGATATGTATCTCAAAGTGCCCACACCTAACGTATGGTCGTATCGGCTCGCAGTTTGTCTGTCGACGTCGTGATCGGTGGCCAAACCAAAGTCACACAGTTTTACGCAACGATTGGACTTAAGGTTGCGTTCAATTAATATGTTTTCCGGTTTGAGGTCCCGATGAATGACTCGCGGAATCAATTCATGCAAATATTGCACACATTATAAGAGCTCTTTGAATATTTCGCACGAAATAAAATATTCAAACACACTATTCATGTGGTATTTCGGTTGTCTCTCAAAGACAATGGCTTTGTCTGCGAGAAGTGAACGAAGACTTTGAGAGCAATACTCCATTTGAATGTACAGATGATTGCACTCAAGCCATGAGTTGTAATATTTGACCACAAAATCTGAGTCCAGTTTTGCTAAACTTTTTACTTCTTTCAAAATTCTTTGTTTTTTGTCTTCATTAAAATCTATGTTGGAATATATAATGAGTGAAAACAAAGTAATGATATTTACCACCAAATTGTACTTTTTTGACGGCATATATCTTATCATCCAATCTATGCTTTACTTGAAATACTGTCCCAAAACCGCCCGAACCTATGGTTGATATCTCTATGAATTGTTGCTTATAATTACCATCACTCGACTTATCATTTATGTTATTATCAATTTCATCTTGGTTCATATCATGTTTGTTATCACTTGTTATGTTAAAATAAATTGTATTGTAAGTACTTTGATGTTCATTGGCATAAACATCAACAAAACTATCATAATTTGTTTCAAACAATTCGTGTTGTTTCGATATTTTGTAAATTTTATCATTCATTAAAAAATATATAAAATCTAAATTATAAATAAATGAATTAATTTGTTGTAATTCTTGAAAACAATATTCACATAATATATATTTCGGACTTTTTTCAATCAATTCATTATTATTTTTATAATATTTGCCACAAAAGCAAAGAAACCAACAGTGCCATAAATACTACAAGTGATTGCATTTACACCAGTTATCGTAGTTAACAATAGATTATCACAACTTATATTGTGTACCAAATGTTACGTCATATTGTTGCCATATAAACCATTGGATATATCTATGATTCATACTATGAATTCATAGACTATGAAAATGTTATTCTTTATATAATTCAATCTATATATTATTTCTAATCTCATAACATTTATGTGCAAAGCCACATCCGTTGATAATTTGCATCATTATATAAACACAGGTGTCGTGTGTAAACGTATTGTAAACGCATTGACAATTCAAAACAGCGTTTTTCTCATTCTGTTTCATTCACTCAAAGGTAATGTTTATTTAAATTTTATGTGCAATTTGTTTTTAATTTAGTTTACAATTAAAATCAAATATTATTTCCTTTAATCGTGAGTAGTAGTGAAACAACAATTATTTTTGTTATGTTTATCATATAAAATAATAGAATATTTGTTTGTTTTGCAACATGTCTATTAATATTTGATTGTAATAATGAAATCAATTGTGTTTTGTTTTAATTGCTGACACTTTGTTTGCTCATAGATTGTGTGCCAATTAGAGCGAAAATGAGTGATAAAGAAAAGGTAGATAAAGGAAAGAGAAAACAAGACAAACGAAAGGCAGACAATGCGGACGACAACAAAGACTCGAAACGCACAGCGGAATCAACCGAAAGCTCCTCCGGCGGCGGCCACTCCTCTCAGGCGCCTAACGTCGGCTCCGGTGCTAAGAAAGAGAAGGATTCTGACTCACTAAACAAATTGTTGTCAAAACGTGCCAACAAAAATAAACCATATAATACCATCAATTTGCCAGAACCTGCTCAGGATATGTCCCGATCACGCGGTGCGACCCCTCCCGGGACAAGCGGCGCCGGAGCGACGCCAGAAACAAGTGATCCAATGAAATCGGTGTTAATAAACGCCGAAAAAGTATATATAGATAAAGTATTTGACGAAATCCAAGAAGTGCGTAAGAAAAAGGATTTTGCCCGGAATAAACAAGATTTGGCCGAAGATAGGGTTAACGATGGGACCGAAAAAATGGCAAAAGATGACGTCATTCGCTATAAAGCGGAGAAAAAGGTTTACAAAGAAGAACTCAAACGACTTCGGGCTCAAGCGGTTCGTGTGGTATTAAAAATTGGGTACATATTGTTATTTATTGTTTATTTGCACATTCATCGGGTTGTATTGTATGTTTTAACATTGATTACATAGTTTAAAATATAACGAACTCGATCTCCACAATTTGCTTCAAGACGAAGGGTTGAATCTTGTCGAGACATTTATAGACAAGAAGTACAAAGAGTTTAAAAATAAATCGAAACCGTCCAACTCTCCCGGCCCTTCATCCAATGATGTATCACTGGATTTAGTAATAATTACAGGTTATGGCAAAACTACTGGTCAGACTAAACATAAAGCAAATGCTAAAATGTATTTAAATACACAGAGTGATAAATTGACGTGAGTAATTTTATTACACTGAGTGCTAATTAAAAGACTTGATTTTATTTATTATTTTGTTCTATAAATTAGGTACGTTAAGATGAATAAAGGTGCCTTCAAAGTTACATTTATTAAGTAATCGCCAATATTAATATACTTAACAGCGTATGTTGTTTGAAACAATCAAGTAGTTAAACAACACTCACTCGTTAATTAGTATTAAATTTAATTTTTAAATTATTTTTTATAGTTACTTAACTTTGAGATTAATTTTAATATTTACGTAACATTAATTTTGATAAATATAAGTTAATTTCATGTATTAATTAAATTATTAAATAATATTAAATAATTAAATTAAAGTGATTTATTATGTATTATTTTAAAAAATGTAAAAACACAATTAATACGAAACAACAAATAAAATTAAATATAAAATGAATTTTAAATTCAAATTAATTTAAGATAGTAAATAATAAAGGTACAAGTAATTGTTGTTCATAAAAAATCAATTAACAATAATTTTTAATAATAAAACAGTTATTTTTATGTACGGTAATACTTATTTCTTACATTTTGTGAAGTTAATCAAAATAATTAAACAAACATTAATTTGATTTACACATTAGAAATTCATAAAAAAAATAAATTGTGTTTAGATTTAAGTATATTCAGCGCTGAATTGAATTCCTTATGAGTTGTAATAACAGACTTATCGATTGACCACTCGTTATGTTTGGCCAACACTTCCCGACATTCAAACCTTTAATTATAATCAGGACTCGACTGCATTGACTGCAAAGTCTGGTATAGATTATCATAACAGTTATTAAACTCGGATTCAATTGTTTGACACGAATACGAACTATAAATACATACAAAATATTATTATAAAAACAATTAGAAAAAAACAAAAATAATTGATAAAAACACTCACTTTTGTGGATCAATACTATAGATCTCTTCGGCGATTAGTGCGAGACTAAAAATATCAATTTTGTGGTTATATTGCTTACGATAAAACACTTCGGGCGATATATATCTCAAAGTGCCCACACCTAACGTATGGTCGTATCGGCTCGCAGTTTGTCTGTCGATGTGGTGATCTGTGGCCAAACCAAAATCACACAGTTTTACGCAACGATTGGACTTAAGGTTGCGTTTAATTAATATGTTTTCCGGTTTGAGGTCCCGATGAATGACTCGCGGAATCAATTCATGCAAATATTGCACACATTATAAGAGCTCTTTGAATATTTCGCACGAAATAAAATATTCAAACACACTATTC